AGACGATGACGTGCACCAGACAAAGCGGGAGCGCAGGAAGTTCCAACAGAAGACCAAGGGCCAATCGGAATGTGCCGGCTGCGGAGGCAACCATTCCCGTGCCAAGTGCCGATTCAGAGATGCCATCTGTCGGAAATGTTCCAGAAGGGGCCACATCGCTAAGGTCTGCCGATCGGCTCCATCTGACACCCCCCCTTCACCGACTCGCAAGTCCAAGTCTTCACTCCAGTTTGCCAAATAAAGCTGTTTCGCTCTCACCAACTGCCGCTGCCCGTCTGGAACCACGATTGGCCAAACCGACTCCCCTACGCGACACAAGCTGAATGTCACGGTGCTCATTGAAGGAGCTCCATGTGTCATGGAGATCGACACCGGGTCTGCTCTGTCCATCGTGTCTTGGAACACCATCAAAAGACTGGTACCCAGAGTGTCCAAAAGGCAACTCAACTCTCACCGCGTACACCTGAGAGACTACCAGGGAAACGACATTCCCGTGGTAGGCGTTGGCCAGTTCCGGATCGCCTTCAAGGATTTTTCGGGCCTGCTCCAACTGGTGATGGTCGAAGGTCAGTGGCCAAGCCTCCTAGGGCTAGACTGGTTTGATGCCCTCAGCCTGGAAGTCACCGGCATCAACTGCATCTCTAACGCAGAGACTGGGGGTCTGGTCAAAGACTTTGCCGAGGTTTTTGATGGCACTTTGGGGCAATATACAGGTATGCCCATCTCCTTTAGCCTTGATCCACAAGTCGCCCCCATCAAGCTAAAGCCACGCTGGGTTCCCTTTGCTCTCAAGGCTAAGGTGGACGAACAACTGGACAAGATGATTGCCCAAGGAGTTTTGGAGCCGGTTGACCACGGCAAGTGGGAAACCCCCATTGTCACGCCTTTCAAGCCAAACGGGTCGGTGAGAATCTGCGCTGACTACAAGTGCACGATCAACAAGGCACTTCAGCAGCACACTTACCCGGTTCCTGTTGTTCAACACCTGCTGCATTCCTTGGGTGAGGGTAAGGTCTTTGCTAAGCTGGACCTTGCCCAAGCCTATCAACAACTGCCCGTCAATGATGCCACTGCTGAAGCCCAGACGATCGTCACCCACCGAGGGGCATTCCATTGCCGCCGTTTACAGTTCAGGGTGAGTGTGGCTCCTGGCATCTTCCAAAGCCTTATGGAGTGTCTCCTGCAAGGGCTTCCAGGTGTGGTACCATATTTTGATGACGTTTTGGTGTCCGCAGACTCACACCAGCAGCTGTTCGAGCGCCTCCCGAAACTTTATGGGGGACATCCCTTGGGTGCCAGCCACAGCGCCGTGCTGACCAGGTTCCAGGAGGCCGGGCTCAAGGTAAAGAGGGAGAAGTGCCAGGTTGCCGTTCCACAGGTGGAGTTCCTGGGCTATCTTATCGATGCCTCCGGCCTTCACCCGACCACATCCAAGATCTGCGCTATCCAGCAGGCCCCCATCCCAAAGAACAAGACGGAGTTGCAGGCGTTCCTGGGACGGCTGAACTTTTATAACATGTTCCTGCCCCACAAAGCCATGGTGGCTGAGCATCTTCACCAACTCCTCAGCACGAAGATACCTTGGTCCTGTGGTCATCGGGAGACGGCGGCCTTCAACGCTATCTCTGACTGAACGGAATTACAGCCAGCTCGACAAGGAGGCATTGGCACTTGTGGCTGGAGTGAAAAGGTTCCATGAATACCTCTACGGCAGGACTTTTGACCTCATCACTGACCACAAGCCGCTTCTGGGCCTCCTCGCCGGTGATCGACCAACTCCACCGGTACTCTCGCTGTGCATGCTGCAATGGACTGTTTTCCTGGCTGCCTACCACTACCGGCTCATCCATCGCCCGGGGAAATCAATGGGCCATGCCGACGCCCTCAGCCATTGCCCTCTTCCAGCATTTATGGAAGACCCGCCTCCTGCTTCATCGCTCCTCCTGATTGAGGATCTTCCGGCAGTGCCTGTATCGGCTGCCCACTGTGGCCTCCGCATCTGCCCAAGATCGCACCATCAGCCGTGTGCTCAGCTGGGTGTGGAGGGGGTGGCCACAAGGGCCTTTTGCATCGGAGTTCCAGGCCTTCGCAACCAGACAACACGAACTCTCGGCTCATCGCGGCTGTCTGCTGTGGGGAGACCACGTCATGATTCCCCAAAGACTCCATCAACGCGTCCTTGAGGCTCTGCACGTTGGCCACCTGGGAATCGTCAAAATGAAGGCGTTGGCTTGGTGTTACGTCTGGTGGCCTAACATGGACGATGCCATCACTGCCTGGGTTTCCGCCTGTCAAGCGTGTCAAGAATCGAGGCCTGCACCACCGGCAGCGACGGGACACACCTGGGAGACGCCCAAGACACCCTGGTCGAGGGTGCACATCGATCTGGCTGGCCCCTTTCATGGCCGGACCTTTATGGTAGTGGTGGACGCCTATTCCAAATGCCTAGAGGTGGCCCTGATGCCCTCCACCACTACCGAGGCCGTCATCCGGGTGCTGCAAGGCCTTTTTGCAACGCATGGGTGTCCTGACGTCCTTGTCTCCGACAACGGTCCGCAGTTCACGTCAGGCACTTTTGAGCAGTACCTTTTGGGACTGGGCATCCGCCATGCCCTAACGGCACTATTTCATCCATCCAGCAGTGGGCAAGCGGAGAGAATGGTGCACTTGGCAAAAGAGGCACTGGGGCGCCTGGACCGGAGAGACTGGGACGAGCGGGTCGCCGAATACTTGTTCGTGCAACACATCACCCCTCATGTGGCCACAGGGCGGAGTCCTGACGAACTGCTTACGGGCCGCCGCCTCAGGTCCCCGCTCGACCAGCTGCACCCGGACTTTGCCATGGCCGAACCCCCAGGCTGTGCCAACGCGCCACGGTCATTTGTTCCAGGAAACCAGGTCTTTGCCCGGAACTTTGTGGGGGACATCCCTTGGGTGCCAGCCACAGTAGTGGGAGTCACTGGACCTCACTCGTACCAGGTGGCACTCGAAGACGGACGCTTGTGGCGCCGGCACATAGACCAGCTTAGGCACAGGGTTGGGGACTTGGACACTACTGTGGTGCCCCCAACTGCGCTCATGGCTCCGGAACAGACACTTACAGATGGTGAGGCTCCACCTACACCTCTCTCGCAGACTGCGGGCGTGGAACCAAACCAAGCCACTTCAGAGGGTCTGCCAGACTTCCCACAGACTCAGACCACTGCCATGCCTGACATTCCGCCAACTCCACTCGTGGAGGTTCCACCCACAGCAGCGGATCCAGGGGACTTGGTTTCAACACCACCTAGGGTCGCGCTACAGCCTCAGCAAGAATTGGGCAGCCCACCGGACCGGGGTACTGCTCCCCAGCAGTCTGGCAGAGTTTCCAAGTGCCCAACTTATTTAAAGGACTATGTTGTTGGACATGTATCACTGTTGGTCTAAGTATGTGAAATGTAACTGATATGCTTTTGTGCCTAATTGAACCATTACGTGTAGTGCTGTATATAAGGAAACCATTACGATTGTAACTAACGCCTTATCTCAGAGGGGAGGGGTGTTATGTACTGAAGTTCTCACCCTGGGCCAGCAGGGGGATACTGTAGATAGTTATGCAAATGAAGGATCGAAAGTGACGTTCAGTGATAGGATAGTTTTAGAAAGTTGTTACAGGAACAAGGTACTGGAGCTCTATATAAGCAGGCTGACTGAGGCCTTCAGTTCAGTTCTGTTCCACGCTTACAAATAAAGAGCTGCTTTGGAGAAATTGCTGTGTCGTCTGCTATGTCAACCCACAACTTAACAGTCCTCGTGGTCCCTTCTACAATTCTGTGATGGTGCACAATCTGGAGTGGCACTTGTTAGGAGCAAGCATAGGAAGCAGCCTTATATGGAGTCAGACCCTGGGCCCACCTAGTTCACTGACTGGCATCAGCTCTCCAGGATTTCAGACGGGGAGACCAACCCTGCCTGGAGAAAATGGTGATGGTTTCAACCCTGATTGTTGAAAATGAGACCTTCTGCATGCAAAGCGTTAAATTACTCTTGCCACTTTTGTTGTTGTTTAGTCGTTTAGTCATGTCCGACTCTTCGTGACCCCATGGACCAGAGCACACCAGGCACTCCTGTCTTCCACTGCCTCCCGCAGTTTGCTCAAACTCATGATGGTAGCTTCGAGAACACTATCCAACCATCTCGTCCTCTGTCGTCTCCTTCTCCTTGTGCCCTCCATCTTTCCCAACATCAGGGTCTTTTCCAGGGAGTCTTCTCTTCTCATGAGGTGGCCAATACCCCAGCAACCCAATACCCCCCACAAAAAAACACACAACACATTTTAAAAGGGCATAGGATAGAAATTGGATCAACCAAGGGCCTGGTTAAAAAGGAATGTTTTTGCCTGGCGCCTAAAGGTGTATAATGAAGGCGCCAGGTGAACTTCCCTAGGGAGAGCATTCCACAGACGGGGAGCCACTGCAGAGAAGGCCCTGTTCTCGTGCTGCCACCCTCCGGACCTCTCAAGGAGGAGGCACACGAAGGAGGGCCTCAGAAGATGATCTCAGGGTCTGGTGGGTTCATATGGAGAGAGGTGGTCCTTGAGGTACGGCAGTCCTGAGCCGTTTAAGGCTTTATAGGTCATAACCAGCACTTTGAATTCGGTTTTATTTTGTCAAGCTACAAAATGCTTTTAAACAACCCGCAACCAAAAAAAACAACCCCCGACCCCATTTCTCTTTTGAAAAGCCACAAAAAAATATTCCTGCAGGGAAAACACAGTTATGATTCCCTGCGCACAGGACCAAAATTATGTACGTCACAACTCCCACTAAGTTACACAACCGCTCTCCTTGACTGCGTTTTCTCCTTGACCGAAAACGGAGGGAGGATGCTATTTGTGCATCTGGAGACAAACTGTGCCACCCATGGACAGCAGAAGTTTCTCCTTGGTGGGTTTGAAGCCTGGGGGTGGAGAGTGTTGTTCTGGGAGGTGCTTGGCTTTGCTCTCCCTGCCTGCCCCACCTCCAACCATGAATGTTCCTGGCTATATATGCACCAGGATGGGGGCCCCTGCACCCATTTAAAAATGCTAACTGCTGCGCTCCTTGTTCTCCTCCTGCTGGTTCTAGCCCTGCTGACAAGGCGGCATGGGGGGTTCGGCTTTCCGAAGAACTCGGGGAGGCTGCCCGGGCCTCGGGCCTTGCCCTTCGTTGGCAATCTCCTCCACCTGTTCCATCCTGACCTTCCCATCCACTTCCATGACTTGGCTCGGCAATATGGCTCCATCTTCCGCCTTCGCCTTGGCAGCAAAGGTAAATCAGTGCAAAAACTTCATCACTAAGGCATTGGATAACTTAGTCACAATTTTACATTGTCTTGCCATTTTATTGTCTTAGGACTCAGCCACGTTTGTTTGTTCCCTGAGTCTGAGAGGTTTCTTTTTTGTCCCAGGGGAAAAACACCCACCCACCCCGCTGTTTACTGCTGAATCAGAAGAAACTTCGGTTGGGTTTTCTGCAAATTGGCTTTTGTTCCGATTCAGCAGTAAACAGTGGGTTTTCTCGGGGAAAGTGGTGAGACAAATGACAAACCTCTCTGCCTATCAATCACAGGACAAAAGGAAGTGTGAATGGTTCTTACTGTAGTTTGGGGTGGTTTTTTTTGGTGTGAGTGGGGTATTCTTGTCTGCATTTTCATTTTTAGAAGAGGACTCCCCTCCTTGCTTCTATGGTTGCTAATTCTCTCTTTATAAAATTTACCAGCTAAAATGTTTGTTTGTATACACAAATGAAGATTTTGCGCATAAAAGGGCATTGTTGTTGTTTAGTCATTTAGCCGTGTCCGAGTCTTCGTGACCCCATGGACCAGAGCACGTCAGGCACTTCTGTCGTTGTCTTTGTCCATGGAGTTTTCTTGGCAGGGATACTGGAGTGGCTTGCCGGTTCCTGCTCCAGTTGGATCACGTTTGGTCAAAACTCTCCACTATGACCTGTCCATCTTGGGTGGCCCTGCACGGCATAGCTCATAGCTTCTCTGAGTTATTCAAGCCCCTTCGCCACGGCAAGGCAGTGATCCATGAAGGGGAAAGGACATTACAATTGCTTAAAATAGCAATTTTAAAAATATAAGAGTGTATAATCGTTTGTCTGTTAGTATTTCAGTTATTGCCTTGCTTCTGCGTTTTAACTTTTTAGAATATCACATTTGTTTGCCCACTTTTATGGTTGTCAATTCTCTCTTTATAAAATTTACCGTACTAGGAAAAGTGTTTGTTTATATGCACAAATGAAGATCTTGTGCACAAAAGGATATTGCAATGATTCAAAATAGTAATTCTTTTTTTAAAAAAAAATATGCAATACTTTTTTTGTTAGTATTTGGTTATTTTCTTGCTCCTGCATTTTAACTTTTTAGAAGATCATGTTTCTTTTTCTACTTGTCACTGTTGCCTTTGATTTATTTTTTTAATAGCCAATACATTTATACATGGTCATAAATGACAAAATTACACACAAAGGTTATTACAATAATGCAAAAGTGTTAATTTTTTAAAAAGAAAAAGTAATAGTAATTAGAACATACATCAAAACTTGATTGGCGTTTGTTAAAATTCAGCAGTGAACAGTGGGTTTTCCAGGGGAAAGTGGCAGGACAAAAGGGGGAGGGGGAGACACCTCTTAGATGTCTGGAAATCACAGAACGAATGGAAGAACCTTAAGTGTCCTTTAGTGTATCAGGGTCTTTTGAAGTGCATTTTTAAAAAAAACAACAAAAAACATTATTAAAGTCTTGGCTTTTTCATTCTTATTTTGCATGCCACCTTTTGAATAATACAGAGAAGTGGCATTTCAACTATTAAATTCTACAAAAATGAGGAACTATCCAATGTTAGACTTTATTAATTTCCAAAGCTCTGCTTGAAGTGTGACCGATGTTGCATACCACCCATAAATGTTTGCATTAGGGTCCTTTTTCTGAACAGAAAAAGCTAATTATTCCTCCCTCATTTCCCTGATATATAGAGCTACAGCAAGCCCCCATAAACCAAGTCATACTATTGGTCTCTCTTCCTCAGTATTGTGTAATAATAATAATAATAATAATAATAATAATAATAATAAAGTGATAAAATATCAAACATTTCAAACTTCCCTTTAGTTGTTGGCAGTGCCTGTCCTGGGTTTCTGGATAAGGAATCTTCTCAGCTCTGTCTAAAAATGGCAGAGCTTGAACCTGGAATCTTCTGCACACAAAAGAGATACTCTAGATCCCTCCTCTGGTTCACAGCTTCCTAATTACCCTGAACAGTAATTAAATAAATGAAGCTGCTTAGCCTAGAATTGGCTATATACATATATACAGTAATTATTTAAAATTCAGTGTCACGTAAAAAAGTCAAAAAATACATCCTTTTTTAAAAAAATGTAAAGAAAACTGAACCATCTAAGGGTGTATAATCAATACCCATGTCTGAGATTCCTAGTTCTCCTTTAAGTCACCAGACCACAAAATAACAAAGAGCCTTGTGGCACCATAAAGGACTGATTTATTATAGCATAAACTTTCATGGGTGACTGTCTGCTTCGGCTGGTGAATCTGATGACAGACAGCTGCATCTTACGAAGTGGGTCTGAGTTAACAAAAGGTTATGGTGTCATGGATATGTAAAGTCCTTTAATGTGTCACAAAACCCTCTTCCTTGTTTGTTTTTTTAACCACATGCCCTTCAGAATCCAGCTGCCCCTCTGCAGTTATTTAAGGTGCCTGGGTACGCTTCTCCATTCCATAGCACGGCTGTTGATTTCAGTGATCCCAAATTGCTCCAATAATTCCCTATTTAGATCTCAGCCTTCCCATGTGCTGGCAAATAAAATCACGGCCAGTGTTTAAGCAGGTATAATTCCTGCGCTTGCATGTTTGTTTGGAAATGGGTGCTGTTTTTTTAAAACTAAAATAAAATATTAGCCTCATTAGCACAGCTTGAGAGATGCATCTTCTGACTGGCTAAATGATCTTGATGGCAAATTAAGTAATAATTCCTTGTTTTGTTTCGCTTTAAACTTGGGTGGAACTGTCCATTCTGCCTTAACAGTGGCTTCCCGCGGTTTCAGGCGAGGTGGGATCCTTTTATCAGAAGAGAAGGCAGGGATTTGATTTTTTGATCTACCACTTGCCTAGCCTAGTTTTTCAGTGGCTCTGCCGGTTGGGAATGCGGATCAGGCGCTAGATCCGGGACGGGAAAACTGCTGCTCTCCAAACGTTACAGGACTCCCACTCCCATCACCCCCTGTCCATTGGCTGTTCAGGTGGGGACTGATGGGAAATGGAGTCCAACAAGAACCTGTCTGCGCTAGAGAAAGCGGGAGGGGTCTCCCCGGAGTTAAATCTGATGACGCAATAAAAACATAAGGGCATCCTATGCCCTAAACTGGCCAATGCACCAACATTCATTGGATTCTAGTCGCGGTTAAGTTTTGATCATCATCAGCCCAGTGGAATAGGGAGTCAAGTTTACACAGGAGGGGGAAAAACCAAAACCAGACTTCTGATAGTTACTGAAACAAATCGCTTGGTTTCTTCATATGTAAAGTTTAAAAGTATTACTAAATGATCTGAAATGGAATTAGGAATGATCTAAAATGTCTGGGGTCCCTTTAAAATGTATATAAAAAAATGGAAATCTCTGATAGAGACTGTATATTAATGTTATGTAGAAAATGGAATTCATGGGACTTAATACAAGATAAGATAAAACATTTGAAAATGCAGCAACCTGAAGCAATTGGATATTATTATTATTATTATTATTTCATTAAGTTTGTATGCTGCCCTATATCTACAGGTCTCAGGGCGGTTCACAACGTAAAATCACAATATAAAAACACAAAATACATAATAAAAACAAAAACCAGTATAACCTAGTAATATCCCTCCCTTCCACAACACATTTTAAAAGGGCATCAGATGTCAATCCACATACAGGCTAACAAGCAACATTGACAAAGCAATCAATTGAAGTAACTAGCATAGCAGCCCACAAAGGTCCAGTAGTGATGTATGGAAGTGAGAGCTGGACCATAAAGAAGGCTGATCGCCGAAGAATGGGTGCTTTTGAATTATGGTGCTGGAGGAGACTCTTGAGAGTCCCATGGACTGCAAGAAGATCAAACCTCTCCACTCTGAAGGAAATCAGCCCTGAGTGCTCACTGGAAGGACAGATCGTGAAGCTGAGGTTCCAGTACTTTGGCCACCTCATGAGAAGAGAAGACTCCCTGGAAAAGACCCTGATGTTGGGAAAGATGGAGGGCACAAGGAGAAGGGGACGACAGAGGACGAGATGGTTGGACAGTGTTCTCGAAGCTACCAGCATGAGTTTGACCAAACTGCGGGAGGCAGTGGAAGACAGGAGTGCCTGGCGTGCTCTGGTCCATGGCGACATGAAGAGTCAGACACGACTAAATGACTAAACAACAACAACAACAACAATAATAATATATTATTTCTATTAAATAGTGGGTGGACATAGCAGACGACACAGAGATTTCTCCAAGTAGTTCTTTATAAGCAACCTGGAACTGAACTGAACTGAATAGCTCAGCCGGCCTTTTATAGGCAACCGGCTGTCAACATTGTAACAAGAACAACGACCCAGGGTTTCCCGTCTAAATTAACTGACGTGGACCTGAGTGAAAACAATATACACAATACCCCTGGTGGCCAGGGTGAGAACTTCAATACATAACAATTTCTTTATTGCGTTTATATCCCAGTTGTATTTATATTTCATTTTTTTCCATGGAGCTTAATGTGGCATATATGGCTTTTCCTTTCCTCGTTTGAGCCTCACAACAACCCTGTGAGGCAGTGACTGGCCCAAGGTCACCCAGTGAGCTTCAGGGGCAAGTGGGGTCTTGAAGCCTGGTCTCCCGTGTTCTTGTCTGCAACTGCCACACCAAGACCAAAGCAGAAACCTTCCCCACACTCCCCTTTTCCCTTCTATGAAGAAACCCTTTCTGGGACCCCACATTTAAATTCTTCCCTGGTCTCCTTGCTGGCCCTAGTAGGACCAACTTGGCCAGTTAGCCCTGGTGATCATTTGATGTCTACTAACTGGGTCCCCCCAAGAAATGACCCCTGAATTTTTGAATTTTATTGATATTGATGCTGCATTTTATGTTGTATTTTATGCTGTTTTTTAAATCACATTTTAATCAATGTTTTATATTTGCTGTTAGCCGCCCTGAGGCCGGTTTTTAAACTGGGAAGGGTGGGGTATAAAATAATTTTTTTAAAAAAATATATTATTATATAAGCAACTTTTGAATTTCTTTTTCTTTTTCTTTTTCTTAGACATGGTGGTTCTGAATAGCACAGATCTGATTCGGGAGGCGCTGCTGCGGAAATGGTCTGATTTTGCAGGACGGCCTCACGGATTTGTTGGTAATTGTAACCTGGTTGAATGGGAGAGATACACATAGGCCTGGTTGAAACGTAATAACCAGCCATGACTGCTTAAGCAAACACGGATCAATCCTTGGTTCATTAGCCTAGTTTGCTCACTAATCACAGTCAGAAAAGAACTTAGTCTCCTCAGTTGGAGATAATGAGAAACTACAGTTTATTCAAAATTGCAAGCTTTCAATTCCCTTTTCTTGTATGGATAAGGGCAGAGGGAGAGATTTGGCTCATGCTTGCAATGGCAAGCCATGGTTTATTGTTACATCTGAACCTGACCATAGAGTCAAGGAAGGCCTGGACTAGAGCAACACAAAGCCCTCACTTCCTGTTCCCATGTGAAAGCAGAATCGTGACAAACATTGGCAAGGAAATCCCTCTACCGTACCCCCTCATGCACCTTCCTGGAGCCAGTTTTAGGTGCCTAGTAGTGGTGGCAAATCAAAATGGCTGCCTTCACTTGGAAACAGGAAGTGCCAATCAAACTGCGTTTTGACTGGGAAGCTTTGTGTAAACTGTGGGCTTCAGGTTGACCCTAATGGCCTTGTTCTACATAGTGGTTACATTATGTTGATTCTCCCACAATCAAACACTTTTCATAGCAAATACCACTGAGGTAATTTTCTTTCATGCCTACCATGGCAGTGACTCCATTTCTGAATATGTGTTCTTCCTTTTCCCTGAATTGTTTTTTCCCAACAGGCAGAGCAATTCCCCCCCTTTCTCTGGCACTATTTTGCCACCCTCTTTGCGTATTTTTGCCTGGGTGAATGAAAACATTTTAATATTACAGGTAGTTGTAAAATAGGGAGCTGGGAGAGAGGAGCAGCAGCAGGAGAAGCAGCTCAGGGCCCGATTCCAAATAGGGGTGAAAACAGGATCCATATTCCATTCTGTCTTGTTCTTTGCTGCATGTAGACCTGTTTCCCTTCTGCTGCAGCTTGTCTTCTGCCAAAACCAAAATATGTCATGTATGTTAGTTTCTGTTTCTCACTGAGCAGCTGCTTGGAGTCACAGGACTCTGTTTACATTCAGAGACCTTCCAGTCTCATGGGAAGGGAGACGGGGTGTGACGTTAGTGGTTTCCTGTTTCCTTTGTTCCTTTGTTCCTTTGTTCAGTTGCTCTCTGCTTTCGTAGACAGAGGATGTATATTTCTTTGCTGTCTGCGTAGTAAGAAATAAAGCATAGCATGTAGCCCAAACCTCTCGTCTCTTCCCTGTGCTGGGAACTCTGCTGAATAGAATGTGCCTTCGAGCCTCATCAAAGGCTTGAGGTCGTTATACGTCGGGAGGCAATTCGAAGGCTCGGCCGAAGGAAGATGAGACTTTATCAGCTTGGCCGAGCGGAGATTCCAACAATGTATACAGTTCATCGTTGACATTACATTGTTCCATCCCAATCATTTCAGTGCACAGGCAATGGAAATCGGGAGGGGAAACAAATAAATTCTGTATCATTTGCAGACTGTAAGCAACAACAGCAAATCCTGGCTTAATTGATTTCCCTTCTGGCAATGGGGCCAATGAACGAACTCCGGTTTCTGTTCCGGTTTCCATCACAATTTGCTGGTGTGTGATTGCATTCCGCCCCACCCCCCCGGGAAAGAGCAGCAGTCCGGAAGCATTCCTTCTCTCCCTCCTACTTCTCGCCCTGCAGCAGACCTTGTTTCGTTGGGAGGCAAGGACCTCTCCTTGGGCAACTATACGCCGACCTGGCGTCTGCAGAGAAAAATGGCCCACGTAGCTTTCCAGCGCTGCCTGCGAGGAAACATGGAGCAGATTGTCCAGAGCCAGGCTCGTCAGCTCTGCAAGGTGAGATGCTGCAAACGCCACCGACTGATCAGGATGGGCGGCTTGTGCATCTTGTGAAGCCGTCTCTCCGGGGCCAGGACTTCCGCTTGTGCAACAGAACTTCCCCTCCCCTTTTAAAAAAACAAAAAAATGTGGAACCTCTAGCCTGGGCAATAAAAACCCAGAACCATGTCGTTTTACTTTATGTCAGGGGCATAGCTGTCAACCATCCCTTATTCGGCGGGAAACTCCCTTATCCCAGCGCCGTTTCCCACTGCTGTCCCTTATTGATAATGTCCCTTAAATTTCCCAGGTTTCAAAGGAAGCAGCTCCTCTCCCTCCCTGCCGGCCAGGGAGGAGGGAGGCTCCAACTGTGTTGCTTGGCTGCGTTGCTCTCCCAATAAGGAGTCTAAGAACGACTGGGGGGTGGAGCTTGCATGCCTTGAGCCCGGCCACGTTGCCTGGGGACTCGCCTTTGCTCAGCGCTTGCCAGCGGAGAAGTGACGGTGGTTTTCCTTGCTGCATCCCCTTTGCCACGTTGCTGCGCTGTGGGAACCACCGCTTAAGGCTTCGTTTGGCTGCTGGCTGGGCTTTCTGCCTTTGGTTCGGAGGGGCTCATAAGTTAAACATACCTGTGCTCGGAATCGGATGGATGCGTCATCGATGGCCCACTCACCCTTGCCGGGGAAAAGGTCTGTCTGGAGCGGGTGCACATAGTGGGGGAAAAGGAAAGGAACTGGTTGAGTACAATGGCGGGCGGCGATCTCGGGGGGGGGAGGCTTTTGGATTTGTTTTGGAGGCTCCTTCGATTGACTGTTATGGGCGAAAGGAAAGGAGCTGGTTGACTAAAATCCCTTATTTTGGCTGCTGATCCCTTATTTTCAAATCTGTAAGTTGACAGCTATGGTCAGGGGTAGGGAACCTTTTTCAGACTGAGGGTGCACTGCGGATCACATGCCGTTGGTGGGCGGAGCCAGCGGCAAACGTGGGCCAGAGCAACAGAGACGAACTTTGTATGGTGGGCTGCGCTTCAGCCAGCCAAAAGTCAGGGGTTTCTGGGTGCACCTCCAGGCAAGCGAAAAGCATCATCACTCTCTAAGGAGAGGGGAGAGTCCTGAGCAGGGGTCCGCAAACCTTTTCTTCTTTTTTTAAAAAATAATTTTTATTCATTTTCCAAACAAGTTTTATACAGTCAACAAATTATTTTACACTCATGCTTCAATTTTTTACTTCCCTCAGTTTCTCTGTCAATCTTTCGAAAAATTTCTATTTATTGATGCATTTCTAAAACATGATATTGCCTTTCCCACTCCTTTTCCTCTTACTCTCTTATCATTCCTAATAGAAAGGCTTCTGGTTTTTTAACGAACGTATATTTCAACATCTTTTTCAATTCATTGTATATCATTTCCCAGAAGTCTTTCACCTTTTTACACTCCCACCACATATGATAGAAAGTACCTTCTTTTTTCTTTACATTTCCAACACTTATTGCATGTTTTATACATTTTGGCCAGTTCAACTGGCATTATATACCATCTGTAAAACATTTTCATTACATTTTCTTTATTTATTTTTTTATTATTTTTTTAAAAAAATTTTATTGCTTTATTTTCCAAGGTCAGAATACATCGTCAATGACACAACAAAAGCTGT